AAAAAAAAATGTACAGTAAAATGGAGTTTTAAAATGAACCACTTCCCAAGTGAACTTTCCCTATATTGTTACGGAGGGCTGAGCTGTGAATTCTGCTTGTGCTGCCTCCAAATCCGCTCTAAGAAGCGGAGTGAGGCAGTGGAGCACCCACGCTGCAGATATTGTAGAAATTTACAGTAAATGTAGGTACACGATTGCAGCACGCTGCCCTATTGATTATGCAGATTGTGATCAATCTTCTCCCCTCTCCCAGTTCCCAAGCCTCTCTCCGTAGACCTCCAAATAAGTTGGTCTGTAACTAGCCATTCTCCCAAAGTAGGAAGGAAAAAAAGTAATTTTTTAAAAAACATAATAAATCCTCAAGGGTCCCCACTGAAAGGGCTCGAGTCTTTTTTAAATTCCAAAGTGAATTTACGTTCTGTAATTTGCATTACAGCCACGCGATCACCGTATGTCATATTCTTCAAAGGTACTTAACAAACTCCCTTTTAAAAGTCAGGAAAAGTGGAGGCCAGAAAAAGGCAATCAGCTTTTCTTCCATATAATCCTTAGATCAAGTTTCAATAATTGAGACCAATAAAAATTGTCATATTTACCCTACTTCAAAGCAACAAGGGGGAAAAGTTGAGTGGGTGATTTTTGAAAGCACTTGTAATCAAAGAATTTGCCACAGTCGAAGGAATTGCACATTTTCAAAAGTCAGATTCTGAGCAACAGATTCATTTGCAAAGTAAAACGTGTTTTTAAATTTTAATAGCTCAACAAAAAAGCCTACGAGTACTGAGTTCATACACAATTCAAATGCACTTAATAAAATACGCTTAAATCTACTCTCCAAAACATATGCAAAAAAATGTAGATGAAAATGTATAATGTAAAATTCAGGACCGTGGTTTTTGCATCTAATGGAGAAAATACAGGGAAAAGAGGAGTGGGGCAGGACGAGGGGTAAGAGTGGGGAACGGAACGTAAACAATCCCAGATTCGAGTGAGCACACAAAAAAAAGATGAAAGAAAGAAAGAAAGAGGGGAAAAAAAAAAAAAAGGATTCTTCCGATTTCGCTCAACTCAGCCGGCCAAGGAGAGGCTGGCAGCCGGGCTAGGTCTAGCCCTGGCCGCCGGCGCAGCCACGAGCCCCCGGGAGCCCCTAGTGTCCGGGGCAGAGCCCCCTCTGGGGGCGCGCGGCGCTGCCAGTGGGGCAGGGCGAGGAGCGCGCAGGTAGAGGGTCGGGCGGCCGCCTCGCCCCCTCACCCCGAGCCCCCTGTCGGACTTCGGGCTCCCGCCCTGCGGCCGCGTTCCCGGCAACTAGAGCCCTGGCGCGGAAGGCGCCCGACCGGCCAGCGGTGGCGACGGCGACGGCAGCAGCGGCGGCCACGGAGACTGCTCCGGGCCGGGTGCGCGCCCCACGCGGCGGCTCAGCCCCGGGCCCCGGCGCCTCTCGGGGTGGGGCAAAGTTGGGGGCCGGGGGCGGCGGG